GACCTAGGTCTTAAGTTTCCTGGGTTATACGTTCACGGTAACTGATTGCATTTTTATCAGGCTCCCTGTTTTCCAACTTGCAGGTCTCATTCCATCTTTTTTCTTTTTTTTCTTCCTTTAGACATTCTGGGTTCCTAGCCCTGGTGCAAGGCAGGAACCTAGTTTGTGTGCTGTGTTTATTTGAATCTCATGACTTCCCTTTGCATGTCTCTTGATTCTGCTTCTTTCAGTTCTCAGTTTGTCAGGTGATAGGCTTCTGGTTCTTCTGAGTCGGGGTTGAGCTGATGGAGAGACCGATGTGCATGGGAAGACCGGCCCGAAGAAATCAAAATTAGGAGGGCCGGCGTATTATGACGTGGTAGAAGAGAGTAGTGTAGGGAAAATGACACTAATAGAGAGTTGTCAGAAAATGCCGTTTATTTCATAATCAAAAAAGAGTAAATATGTCCCATGTAGCTTTAGATAATTTTGGCTTTTATTCTTAACAGTCAACTGAACTCTGGCTTTACTGACCCGATATGCTTATTACCTGTCTTTCTTGGGTTGAGGGCTTTGATGAAGTGGATAAAAATATTTGCCTTTGAGTGTCTGTCCATCACCTGTGCCATGCCCCCGCCCCTCCCCACCCCCGGCTGTGCTCCATCCCAACAAGCTACATTTTAAAATAGTTTGAAATACCTTCCAGAGTAGGAGTGTAGGAGTGTGTTTTTCATCCTCTCCAGCATAACCAAGAATTTTCCTTCATAGCTTCGGAGTGAAGCTGTATATTATCCTGGAGAATTTTTTTGTGCTGCCCTCATTCCTGACCTCTTTGCGAATGAGGCCCATGTACCCGCACAAACCCAGCAGCGAATTCTCCATCTGATTAGCACAGCGTTCCTGATGTGATAGACCGAAAACAGCCCCCCAGGGTGCAGGGCAGTAACAATCAGACTAAGCCATGTTCAAATGCACTATTACTTCCTCTCCGTGGGCACAGTCTAGAAAACACAGCCAGGAAGATTCTTGCCCCTTTAGTCCGTTTTATTCACCGGTTCTCTTTTCCGTACTCTGATAACCAGCGTAGGATTGCCCGTGAGTCAGAACTGCAGCAAAGTGGAAGTCCATGTGCACATTCACGGGAAACCACAGATGGTGGCCGGTGCAGTTTTCAGATGTGAAGAACGTCTCAGGCAGTGTGAACTCGGGGTACTTTTTTGCTGAGCAATGATCTCCACCCACTGAAAATCAGGCCTCAGGGGAGCAATCTAGTGATTTCAGTATACTTACAGCATGCAATTAGATTCCCAAAGCTAAGGCTTTTAAAAGCAGGCCATAAAATGCCCATGTATCTTTATTAAACCTATTTTCTAACTGGATGGAGAAAATTTCTAGTAATTTTTAATTTTATAAAGTCTCTCTTTTTTTTTTTTTTCTCTAGGCCATGGGAAAAAACTGTCTGGGCACTAAAAGCTTAGGTATATCAGTGTGGGGTTTTTTTTTTTTTTCTGTCTCTAAATGATTAAATGCAATTTCATCCATTTAGTAATACTGTAATTGTGGTGGCATTAGCTAATACTGGCAGAGAGACCCAAAGAAAAACTAAGTATAATGAGGTAACAATTTATTTTTACTCTTTCTCTAAGTTAAAAATTCCTAATACATTAAAATCAATAGTAAAAATATTACAACATTGTCTCCTGAAATGCAAGTAGATTTTTCTCCCCAAGCATGAGCAATTTCTTGTTTTTCAAGCAGGCTGCCGCTATGCCTGTTTGTAAAGCTTCTGGTGACTGGATGTTATGGCAGAAATCAGAAATCAATTGTGGCTTTATTTCAGAGCTCATTGCCCAAAAGAGGTGCAGTCAGGATGGGACACCTGTCAGGGTCCTTGGTCAAGGCAGCGACAGGGGGACCTCAACACTGAGAACCACACTCCCTGCACTCCCTGATGAGGTGGTATGGTAGGAAGAGTGAGGTTAATTTTCATTATGGTATCAAAAATAAAATAAGTTCAAGTTCCTCTAAGTTATTTTAAATATGCTCAGAAGTTTGCTTTCTGAAGTTTCAGTTGGGGGCTGACATCTGAACACCGGGCTTTCCGTGACCACTCGGGTCATTCCTAACAGAGGGCAGGGCAAAAATCTTTCCATGGCAGAACATCTCACTCTATTATAGAGTTTATCCCCTTCTTAAACAACCAGGTATTGGGGATGGTATGTTAACGTTAGTAATGAATTTTTCAGTATCTTCCAGTAAACTTTGCTGCTCCCAAGTTGACTCAAAGGGGAATGAAGCAGAGTCTGGAATGCACATCACAGCGTTTTGCCTCCTGGCCCACCCTCCCCCTTCAGCCCCACCCCTCCAAAACAGCAGCGGCCTCTGGTGTCCTGAAACCCCAAGAACCATGCAAAGGCACAAACTTCCATTTCCCTCTATGCAACTCAGGCTAGAAGGCTTTCTTCCCAGCCCCCTCCCCACCCCTGCCCCCAAAGAATAAAAAAAGTTTCAACTGTAAAAGATGCAAAGCAGGTTCATTCTCCTGCTGCACAATTTCTCTCCTCCCGTCTTAGAGTCTGTAGATGCTAAATTATAGATTGCAATTTAATTTGAATACTTGAGTTCTTTATGTGGGGGGTTATTTGGACAACATTTAGGGTAAACCAAAAGGAGCTCCGCATGAAAGAACTGATATTCAGAAAGGGCGTTGACTACAAATTAAAATCAAAAGAAAAAAAAAATCACCCAATGATGCGCTCCTCTGTGCTTGCTTCCAAACTAACAAAAGGAGAAGCAGTCAGCACTTTTGAATTCTGTTCCCAGGTGAAGCTTCCTTACCTTGTCTTATCCTTTCTGGTTCTGGTATTCATTCCTTTATTTATTTATTTTTTCCTTTTATATCTGAATCTCTGACCTTATTACTTCAAGGTTAAAATAAACAAACCTCCGTAGCCTCCCCCTTTTCTGTGCATGACCCTTCAGATCTTATTTTTAACATATTTGTTAAGCCGTTAGCTGGAAAAAGTTAGTCATTTCACTGCATTTGGGTGCACTTTTGCATGTGGGCGCATTTATGCGCATATGACTTAGAAAACATGGAGATTCCATTTGAATTAAGTAAACTAAACTTTTGAAGCCATCGGCCAAATAAAGACCTCAGCTTTCTGCATTTTTCTACATGAGAACATTTCCTCATTTTTGAGAAAGATCAACTGAGAACTTGAACTAAGTGAAGATTCTAGCACTCCTCAAAAGGGTGCTTGGTCATGGATAGCCACACTGTTTCATGCCTTTAGGAGGCAAAGACACTTCAAAATTTAGGAACCTGCCTAGAGGAGGGGAAAGGGAAAGCCCATGGAGAAATGGGGAGAAAAAAAGATTTTATTAGATTCACAGAGGCATATAAAGTTTCTTTATAGGTACTTGTTTTAACTCTTCTGCCAGGTATTTTCTCACAATCTACAAGAAGATATTGTCTATTTTTACCCCCCAAATTATGATGGCAGTGTTGCCCATTTTACCCAGGAGAAACTCAGTGCCAGCATCAGCAGACGAGGGAGGTATGATTGTAAGACTGTAAACTTTAAGGAAACACTCAGATAAGCAAAGAGATATTTATACACACAAGAAGCAGCCATTGTTTTTAAGGGAAACAGTGAAAGTAAAAGTCGGTAACTCAAGAACACAAGGACAAATAAGTAGGTCTCATTTTGCAGCTAATACAATTATCTGTAGCGTGCATATTTCTGTGCGTGCATGTAGCCCTTGTTTGCCATTTGGAAAACAACCCATTAAAAGAATGTCTTTGGATTTATTTTTACCAGAAATGCCGTCCCTGTTTCCATGCCTTGAAAAGTACAGTGTTAGTAGACAAGCCTTTGATAATCCAAGTAGAGAATGACTTACAGTGCAGAAATGTATATGAAACACTTCTGTTCCTTGTCCCTTGAACTTTGGAGGAATGAAAATGTCTAGCACTCTCCACCTTCTTTTCTCTTCTGGAACTTGACCTGTGACTTAAATCCTCTTCCTCAGCAAAGTCCCTGGCAGGCTGTCTTTTCGCAGCTTTAGTTAAAATGCTCATCAGAGGACCCACCATCCTAAGAAGACAGAACAGCAGTGTTTTTCAGTAGGCCATAGGCTGTTTTTTTAAAAGTACTGAAAATGGTCAAATGCTCCATCCTTTCTCCTCCTCCTCCCTCTTGAAGTAGGAAGCAAATCAAGCTGGTCAGCAGGAGGCCAGTGGCTGCAGGACGTCCTTCCCACACACCCGAGGGTTGTTGCCCCAGGGCCCTGACTGAGCAGAGGACATGTGTGGTCCCCTCTGTCGGTCAAGTTGTCCTCTAGCAAGTAGCTGGGTTGAAGGGTTTCCCCAAGGTCCATCTCGGTAATAAGAACACACTTGCTATTACTGATCCAGTACAGAATGATAGAGAGAAACTTCAGAATTTGAAAGACCTGAATCTTAGCCTCCTTCTTCATCTCGAATAAGGCTGGGAAAGAAGGAAAGCGGGTGTGGGAGTCTCCTCTTTTAGTGTTTACCGAACTTGGATGCTTGGCAAACGGGGAGCATCAAGCTAATTGTTCTTGAAGCAGGAAATCTGTAGTCGAGGAAGCAGGTGTTGTGGGCTGATTACCACATTTTAAAGTGACTGTATTAACTCTCGTGCTCTTTTGATTTTGACCCTGAAATAGTAGCTTTTTGGATGATGCTATCCCTTTTATGTATGGACTACTACTAAATCAGTTGGTTCTGAAGGAAGGAAGAAGCGCTTAAGTAAACTTGAAATCAGATAGCATGTGTGCCCCAGTGTTGACAGTCTCCATTTTTCTTTCTTTTCTTTTCTTTTTTTTTTTTATGTTTGGCTTTCAGCATTCCATACTTTCAGAAAACTTGTGACTAAGAGTGAATTCTTATTTTTCAAATTGTTTTCAGACATTTCATGTTCATGTAAACTTGGCTTATTGATTTCCTGATTTTTTCTTTATTTTTTTGTTTTGTCCATTTTATTTTTAATCAGCTACATCAAATGGGTCTTTGGAGGGCCTGGATAACCAGGAGGGAGGGGTGTGCCAGACAAGAGCCATGAAGATCCTCATGAAAGTTGGACAAGGTAAAGACCATCTGCTGCTTCATGAAGCCACTGTAATCTGCTTGGGCCCCCAGCGAGTGTGGCGCCAGTGCCGTTACTGCCCGCCTTCACTCCCTCGTAGCTTAGTTTTGAAAGCAAACCTTTCTCTGTACCTTGAGCCACTGACAGATTGCCTCAAGTCAATGTCACACACTTCTTTTATTGGAGATTCCTCTAAAAGTTAAGGTCGGCCAGCTATGATGTCTATTGCCATCTAATGTATATACTTATATATACACTCTTTTTTCTTCTTAAAAGTGAGACACCTCTTTGATCCAAAAATTAAGATACCCAGAGTGAAAACTAAGTTTCTGCCATTTTGCCCATTTCTGCCTCTTGACTACAGAAGACTTTAGCTCCTGAGCCTTTTCACATACAGATAACCTATGGTGCAGAATTATTCTTCTAATTAGAAATTTGTATAGTAGTCAATCAACTTGCTCGTTTAAATTGAAATGTCATCTGCAATGCTCTGCCTGCCAAATGCAAGAATCCCTATAGTTTGCACAGATGGCCTCAGAATCAAAACCTCTGAAATAACTAGTATAACCGTTTTGTTTTAAAAGGAAAATTATATTCTTGTATGTCACAGCACTTTGCATAAAGAATCTTACGTTCGTTGCTATTTATGCCTCTTGAGATATATATCCAGAAGCTCCTAGAGCTAGATCGCATTAGACGCCTGGGCTGTAAGTAATCTGTTCTTTCTCATATAGATGCAAGTTCCGCTGGGTCCACCAGGCATAATGATCCAACACGACGCCCAGAACTAGAAGCCGGTACAAATGGAAGAAGTTCAACGACAAGTCCCTTTGTCAAACCAAATCCAGGTATAGCAGCATGAGGGGGTGTGGATAGGTCTGTGTGTCCCGGGTGCCTCCAGGCCCAAGAGGTAGAATAGAGTCTGAGCACTTGGACACCAGTGGGGTGAACTTGGAGTTCCCAGAGTCGGTAATCTTTGCTCTCGGTTAGTTGTTATTAATTACGCAGTCAGAACAAAAGAACTCATTCCCACGAAAGGTTCACATTCAGAAGAGCAGAATTCATCAGATGTAGGGACCAATTATGAGCGCCACTCATTCGACCAAAGTTATTTTTATTGGTCACACTTAATTGTGCCGGTTGCAACACTAGCTTAGAGCCGATGTTAATGTATATGTGATTAATGTACTAATCCCTCATCTAATTATATCCAATCCACAAAGAGCCCGATTGATCTGCTTCTACATTTTAGGTGGCAGCATCTTAAAATATTGAATAATGCCATGTTTTTCAGGTAGTTATACGGCTGGAATTTTTTTTCGCGTTTTCGGTGTAAAATAAAATACCAAACGGATCCCTGGCCACAGTTTAGAATACCAGGGAAAGTTGGCTGTCATTGAACTTCATTTTCTTCGAAGTCCTTGGACAGCTGGCTACGTGTTTGTCTGCACGCTGATGACAGTTGTATGTAGCGGTGGCTGGACAGACGTCAGCCATCCCGCATCCGGGATGCATGTGCCTGGTTGGTAGTTGTGTGAATCCGGCATCTGCGGCCATGTCCCCCCCTCTTTCTAAGCCTCAAGGAGGGAAGTTGTTATTTCTAACTTTCAATGACAAGATGTGTCAAATTCTTGTGACAAACTGATAAATGGATCATATAATGATGCCAGGCGATTTTTTTCATGCTTAACATTTGGGTTGGCAGCCTGTTCCCTGTGAGAGTTTCTGCCGCCTTCCAAATATATTTTAGGTGTAAATCAAATAATACAAACGAGTTAGGAGTTGAACGTCTTCCCAGGCCCCAGCAGTCCCTGGGCGCTCCCGGGCCGCGGTGCCAGTGGGCAGGGCTCCTTTCCAGAATGCGGGCAGCGTGAGGTTCCCACGAAGCTGGTGCCCGGGAGCAAGGCGAAAAGCAGGGCGCGCGGGGGCAGGAATCACTTGCCGGGACAAGGGGCCGCCTCCTGCGCGTGTCCCCGCCGTGGCTCGCCCCTGGCGCCGGTGGCTGGGAGCAGCCGGCAAGGCCAGACCTGGGTCGCCAGGCCAGACCTGGGTCGCCCGTGCCGATGCCAGAGCCGCGTGGCTGTGGCCGCTGGGGCGGGGCTCTGCGACGGTGAGGGGCGCGGTCTGGGGGGTCGAGGTGGCGGGGGGCTGGCGGTCCCCCGCACGGCCGGTGTGGCTTCGCAACCTGCCGGCCGCGCTCGACCCGGCAGTAACCCTTCTGCTCCGTGTCCCTCTCTCCCTGCCGGTCAGGTTCTAGCACAGACGGCAGCAGCGCCGGACATTCCGGGAACAATATCCTCGGTTCCGAAGTGGCCTTATTCGCGGGGATTGCTTCAGGATGCATCATCTTCATCGTCATCATCATCACGCTGGTGGTCCTCCTGCTCAAGTACCGGCGGAGACACCGGAAACACTCGCCGCAGCACACGGCCACGCTGTCGCTCAGCACGCTGGCCACCCCGAAGCGCGGCGGTGGCAACAACGGCTCGGAGCCCAGTGACATTATCATCCCGCTGCGGACTGCGGACAGTGTGTTCTGCCCCCACTACGAGAAGGTCAGCGGGGACTACGGGCACCCCGTGTACATAGTCCAGGAGATGCCCCCCCAGAGCCCTGCGAACATTTACTACAAGGTCTGAGACTCGGCGGTGCCTTGGCTTTCCCGGAGGAAACGTCCTGGCCCGTGGCCGCCCGGGGAGGGTTTGATGACCCCCTGCGCGTCGCCTGGACTGGAGCGCAGCGGGGGAGAGGGAACGCCGTTTCTCGGAAGAGCCCTGTTGAGTTGGACAGCTTCTCTAGTGTGAGCGCCCCGGCCGCGGTGGAGACAGATGCTCGCCGGCCGCGGGGAGCCTGGGGCGCAGAGGGGGCCCCGCTGGGACTGCGGTGCTCGCCTCCCACCCCTCCACCTCCAAGCCATGCGCTGCCGGCACTCAGGCCTGCGGGGACCCGGGGGAGACCGAGCCTCCCGGGCAGGGCAGGAGTCCCAGGCCGCCGCACCAGGACATGCAGTCCTCTGCCTCGGGCGCTCCTGCTGCGGAGCGTCCGGACTTGACACACAGACCTCGGGCTGGGGGAGGCTTCCGAGAGGTCCAGCTTCCAGTCCTCACCACGGCACCCCTTCCCCCCAGCGCCCCTGCCCGATCTCCGGGGCCCTGCCGTGCTTCCCGGGAGAGCCCCTCTCCCTCTGCACTCTGCATCCCTGCTGGAACACTCACGTCTGGGGGGTCTCCTGCTCAGCGCACCTGCAGCCACGGCTACCACGGAATGGGTAATACACTTCTAGAAATTGTGTTTGCTAATAAGGCGCCCCAGGCGGGGCTGTGGGCCGCGGCGTTCGCGGAAGGGGCGGGCCGGGGAAAAGGGCTCTCTGCAGGTGCAGTTCCAGGCCGCCGCCTCCGAAGCGGAGTCCGGTGGGGGAGAGCCCCGTGAGTAGCACAGCACTTCGGTTTGGCTGAGATTTTAAGAGGCAAGTAGGAGACACAACACCACTCACAGTGGAGGAGGGTGTCTTTGAAGGAATCCGCCCTGATCGCATGGCAACGTGCAGGAAAACCAGAGTCCTCTTCGCTGGGGACAACAAAGGGGCATTGTTGGGGGAGGAACAGGCCGGGAGGGAAGGGAGCCGTGGGCGCTGATGACGGATTCGCGCAGGACTGTTGTGGTGCCGGCAGTAGGATGTACAGCTTGGAAGCTGTAGGAGAGTCGGTCTGCTTTGGATGAGGTCTAGAGCGGACTCAGCTGCTATCCTGATCACATTTTATGAAACACAGGGAAAGCATTTAGGAGAATAGCAGAGAGCCAAATCTGACCTAGACGTTGAAAAGCCAAAGGTCAAACAGGCTGTAATTCCATCATCATTGATGTTATTGAGGAGTTCTGTTATGTAAAAGGTAGGTCAGATTCCCCGCCCCCTCCCCCCCAGTGCCCCTCCCCCACCCCCTCCGCCGCGGAGCTTCCCCACACGTTGGTTTTTGGCGGTGCTGTCCTGTCTGCAGCGTGGGCCAAGGGAGGGTACCGAGCGAGGCCACAGCCAGGCTGCTCTGTGTCTGGGCAAAGCACAGGGGGAACCCCGTGGGGTCCTTAAGCGGGAAATCGGTGATGACGTCGAGGGGGAGAAGGAAGATAGCACGTATTTATAATAGGTATATAGAACACAAGGGGTAGAAAATGAAAGATTTTTACTAATATATATTTAAGATTGCACACAAATCACGCCAGAGGATGTGAAATTCACTCGTGGCAATTGCGTGGTCCCAACGCCCAGTGCTTAAAAAAGAAAAATCGGACAGCTACTTCTGGGAAGAAACGGCATCACTCCCCAAACAACAATAACAAGAGTAAATACAAAAATAACCCAGTCCTCTGAAGGCATCTCACGGAACCTAGACTAGGAAATGCAGGCCCCAAACACCAGGAAATGGACGTGACCGAACCATATTTTGAACAGTGGCAAGATGTCCGGGCATTTCTTCCCTGTGTTGTGTTTCCCCTTGCCTTGGGGCTCAAGCTCGAGTGTTCTCTGAAACCCACTGGGTCACGTGGAGGGGCTATGGCCGCAAGTTCAGCTCCAGCCCCCGCTCCCTCCCTCCTCCCCAGTCCCCTGGTCCCCTCCCTTCTGGGAAACAAAACGAGTAAACAGGAAACCTACTTTTTATGTGCTATGCAAAATAGACATCTTTAACATAGTCCCCCGTTACCATGGTAACACTTTGCTTTCTGAATTGGGAGAAAAAAAAAATGTAGCAACAGCATTTTAAGGTTCTCAAACCTTCAGTGAATACCGCAAAAACGAGTTGTCACAGAAATTATTCCTTCTCTATTTCCTGAACCTAAAAATGATGTTGGTCCAAAGTGCGTGTGTGTATGTTTGAGTGGGTGGGTGGTTTACGTGTGTACATATATGTATAATATATATCTACAATATATATTATATATATCTCTATCAGAGTTCTGTGCAGGGTTGCCATGGCGACCAGCCACAGTCCATATGTGATTCTTTCCATCACCCTACCCTCTCCTTTACGTGCATCCATACAAGAGTTTCTTGTAAGCCATCAAAAATTAACCTTGAGGATGGGGGAGAGGGGCAAGAAGGGGAAAAATGGGAAATAGTCTGATTTTAATGAAATCAAATGTGTGTCTCATCAGTTGGCTACATTTTGGTTATATGCTAAACTGTGAAATCAGAGAATTGATGAAGAGTTACCTGCAACCAGTTGAAAAGTGTTCTGTGCGTCTGTTTTGTGTCTGGTGCAGAATATGACAATCTACCAACTGTCCCTTTATTTGAAGTTGGTTCAGCTTTGGAAAAGTTACTGTAAATGCCTTGCTTGTATTATCATCCCTAGTCACCTGACTTTGGAATTTGCACCATAATGTTTAAGTGAAGATGCTGTAAATAGGTTCAGATTTTGCTGTATATGGATTTGGGGTGTTACAGTAGCCTTATTCACCTTTTTAATAAAAATACACATGAAAACAAAACAGAAATGGCTTTTCTTACCCAGATTGTGTACATAGAGCAATGTTGGTTTTTTATAAAGTCTAAGCAAGATGTTTTGTATAAAATTTGAATTTTGCAATGTATTTAGCTACAGCTTGTTAAACGGCAGTGTCATTCTCCCCTTTGCACTGTAATGAGGAAAAAATGGTATAAAAGGTTGCCAAATTGCTGCATATTTGTGCCGTAATTATGTACCATGGATATTTATTTAAAATTTCGTTGTCCAATTTGTAAGTAACACAGTATTATGCTTGAGTTATAAATATTTTTTTCTTTCTTCGTTTTATTTTACTAGCCTGTCCTAGGTTTTCAGTCTGCTTTACTTCCACATTGCAGTCAGCCCCCAGAAATGAAACCCGTGAGGTCACATTCCACGTCTGTTTCAAACTGAATTTGTTCTTAAAAAAATAAAATATTTTTTTCCTATGGAAAAAGTGCCTTCAAAGTCTTTTCCTTTCCCTCTTTTTTCTTTTTTTCTTTCTTTTTCACTTGTTATTTTAATTTGCTTTTCTACTCCGTTTTCTTTATGATTACAGTTACCCCTGGCCTTCTGCCCATGGGCATTTGTGTGCCCATTTTTCAAATCAGAACATGCACGTAGTGCGATTATTAATCTCACAAAGGGCCACGAGCCCATTGGTTTCCCCATAAAACTCGTACTCGCATTTCACAAATAATATTTTATCGTAAGTTTTCATCAAGTCCGAAGCATCCCCATGAGAAACTGTCCCTAGTTTCACCTGGATCACAGCAACTGAGCCGTGATCTCATTCAGGCGAGAGCGGAGGGATGGAGATGCACTTTGTTATCTCAGTGCCTAATTCCAGATTGATCTAGTTCCCATTCAAGCAGAGCAGTTTGCCATAGACAGCCTCGTTCTTTCTGGAAAAGTCCCAGGAGGAAGGAAAGAAAGTCAGATGTTCTCGGTCAAACTTTAACACCGGTGAAATAATGTTTTGTGATAACTCGGTGCAAGCAAGCGAGAGAGTGGTGACTGGAACCACATTTTCAATGCTGGTCTATCTGCTCGGGGAAGGTGCCCTGGGCAGGTGAGGACTTCCTCCTGCTCTGGCTGAGACCATCTTCAGACTCCCCACCCAAGGGAGATCTTCCTCACCCGAAGGTGCCTGCAGGGTAGAACCACAGTCCAGGTGGAAACAGCTGTTGGTTACTAAAAGGTGCTCAGATCTCTGGCTGCATTACCTTGGGCTAGTCCTTACCTTAGGAGGGGGGTACTAAAGGTATTTGGGGGGAGGGGATGAGAAAGGCCCCCATCCCTGGAGCCAGATACTCCAGGCCAGACTGACTTGCTGCAGATCGCAGCCCCAGCCAAGTGAAGAATTTGTAGGTTTCAAAAGCCCCCCCGCCCAAGTCCCAGGAGGCTCCCATGAAAGGCTGGTTTTGGAAGCATCGATCTGGGCGGCACCTTCCTGGCAGACTTGTCCTAAAGAAAGCTTGGTGGAATAAATGCTTTTCTTCAAAAAAAAAAAAAAAGAAAGAAAGTCTCCAAAAGCCCACAGTTTCAGGTGATGCTATCTACTCCATCTTTTCATTCCACGGCACCTAACCTCCCTGTCGCTGCAAATCCAAGCTCCTGCGCCCAGTTTACAGCTGAGTGACTAAGCGGGACGCTCCACCCTCCAGACCCAGGTCGCTAATGGGCGGTCTGGACTGAAACAAAAGAACAGCCAAGTGTTGCATTTTCAGCTGACACTGTGGCCTTTATTGCAAAATGATGACCGAAGACACCATGTCATTGTTCCCACCTAGTGTTTGAAACCAAGTTCTCCAAACTGGGCCGGCTAAACTCCATGAAGAAATAAAATGCACCCCAGTCATTACCCTTTTCTAATGGGTGAGGAGGAAACACAGAAACTTCTCACAGAGGAGGTCACACGCAAATGCTTCTTTTTCCTCTGTCTGAAGGGTCAGCCTGCTCCTGCAGGGAGAGTCGCTGCCTGGGTCATGTGCTCTCCCCACCATGTGCTGTCCACTCCCCTGTAATGTCACTTTCCTTGTTGGTAAAAGAGTTGCCCTTTCAAACACTGGGAGAAAGAGTCCCAGTAGAAAGGAGAAAAAAATACATACACGTATCAGTACCGGCTGTCATGCACCTTGCTGTCGGTCTCGAGACCCGACCCAGAGAAGGATGGATCAAAGGCAAAAACCACCCAGAGGAGGAAAAGTCACTTCCCTAATGGGTGTACAAAAGGGTGATTGGCTTGGGTAGTAAATGGGTCTTAGGAGACTCAAAGGACACACAGTGGGTACTGTCCAAGAGACTCCAACCTGCGTGTTCTGCTGCTTTTGTGTTTCCAGTCGATCTGGTATGACATTTGCGGTCTTTACACTCTAAATGTGCTTGAAGGCAACTTTTCCATGTTGTTATGGAAGAGTCTTGCCTATTCTCGGTTTTCTAGGTAGAGTCTTGCCTGTTCTTGGTTTCATTTATCAGCGACAGGGGAGAGGTTAAAATAATGCATTTATCTGTAATAAAACGTAGCATACCAGGTTGAATCAATTTTTTAGTTATTAAACTCTGCCCCAGAAGCTAGAGAGGCATTCATCTCAAGATGTTTATGCTGTGATACGATGATTAACGAACTCTCTTCCAACCAGTTCTCCACATGAAGTTAACTATGTTTTTAAAAACAACCAACATCCTCATTAAAAAAAAAAAAAAAATTCCCCCATATATAAGGACACAGCACAAGAGAAATCATGCCAACCCAGCTTATGACCAGTCGCGGACGCCGCTGAATGTGTTCATTGCAGGGAAGGTGAGACCTCGCTCACAGCTCTCTTTGTGCTGCCCATGGCTCCGTGGTCTTTGTGCACATCCCATCACGTTCTGTGCAGCCTCA